GAGAGATTCATGTCCTGACAGAGGAGGCCAGAAGAGCAGCAGATTTTGGAGCTAGAATTATGCTAATGAGCTGCCATGTGGGTTCCTTGGAAGAGCAGCAAGCACTCTTAAGCTCTGAGCTATCTCTCCTGCTCCATCATCGTTTTAACATGGAACAAAGTCTCTGCACATAGTAATATCAACCTTGACAATGAGTTATTTGTATCCTTAACTCGTTGTGACACCAACTCCACTAATAGCAATGAGTAACCCTGATACTTAGCACATGCCAGGCCCATCCAAACACTTCAGGCATTCATACATTCTGTCATTGTTGGTGCAGGTGGTTAAGCAGTTTGTCCAGGGACACACTGTGAGTCTCTGCAAACGCCAGGGCTGGCAGAGTAATGATTACTGGTTCAACACGACTTCGGGTTCCGATCCAAGGATAGCTCCCTCCCAGGCTATTTCTCCCTGACAATTACATATAGGATCATTTCCCATCCTACTGTGTCACCTTACTGATAGCTTGGAAGTGCTAGGAGCACTCAAACCCTGAGCACCAGGGCTCCAGGACTCTGCGTCTCCTTCTGCAGTGATTCAGAAAAACAACACTTTGACCTGTGAGGTGAAGGGACCCACCTCCCCCAAGATGAGACTGACCCTGACGCTGGAGAATCAGAAACACAGAGTCTCCAAGCAGGAGAAGGTGGTTCGAATGCCGGCCCCCGAGCCAGGGCTGTGGCAGTGTGTACTGTACGAAGCAGAAGAGGTCAAGATAATGTCAGATACGCAGGGTAAGGAGTCAATCCCTAAGGCCTCATGTTTATCCTTGGCCTCTTCAACTGTGAAATCTCCCCAGGGATTAGCCAAGATGGCCCAGAGTTTCTGCTCCCTAGCTCCTCTGACAGGGAGGCATTCTGTGCAGTGGCCTGAAGACATAGGTCCTGGGCTCTGGGTTCCCACTTCTACACAGCCTAGGAATAAGGCCTTCATGGCTAAGAGCTACCCTCCTCTGTGGCTTCCCTCTACACCTAAACAAACACACAGGGCCTGACATATCAGGGCCCTGGCTTCTAGCTCTCTAGAGAACTGTGTAAAAAAAAAAAAAAAAAATGTCCCTTTCCTGTTCTGTGCCCCTAAGGCCGGTGGCCTTTGAGAACCTGTGTCCTCAGCTCTTTTCTCTGACCTGGGACCACAGGTAAGACTGTCCCTAGATAGAGACATTGAGTGTCTCTCTTTCCTGGCAGTGCTTGGGGTGGAACCCAGGGCTTCCCTCCACCACAGCTACATTTCCAGCCAAATACCTCCCCTGCCTCCTCTCCCTGTCTCTCAGTTTTATCCAGAAGGCTGAACCAGAACCAGCCAATGTTCCTGGCTGTCGTGCTGGGGGGCACCTTCAGCTTTCTGACCTTCGTGGGACTCTGTATCCTCTGCTATGTCAAGTGCCGGCACCAACGGGTGAGTGAGTTCCCATCATGCCCCACTGGGCCCTCAAGCATAGTACTTATACATGAGGCTGAGCACCCTAGGACTGGCATCTGACTTAGCTCTCCTGGCCCAGCCCAGCCCCTGAAGCTCCTTACTGCAGACCAGGCCCTGCCTCTGACCCCATCTGAAGGGAAACACAAGGAGCAGAGTCGCTGACAGGACAGGTGGCTTAAGCCACAGTAAATGCTTCTTTTCTGCCAGCTTCCCCCTATCCCCCCTCCAAGGGGCACCTCCCTCCTGGAGGACTGGGACCCTCACAACTCTTCTCCTTGTCCCCGGGCAGCGCCAGGCAGAACGGATGTCTCAGATCAAGAGGCTCCTGAGTGAGAAGAAGACCTGTCAGTGTTCCCAGTAAGGAATCTGGGCTGGGAGGGAGGAGGGAGAGCAAGGAGGGAAAGGGAGGGGGGGAGGAGAGCGAAAGAGGAGAGAGGAGAGAGAGGGGGGGGGAAGGGAAGGATGGAAAGTGGTGAGGGAGACAAGATGGAGTTGAGAGGGAAGGGAGGTTTGAGGAAGAGGAGCAGGGAGTTGGGGCAAAGAGGAGGTGATGGGGAATGAACAATGGAACTCTGGGAAGGGCTGGCAGAAGTGGAGGTAAAGGCGCAGTGGACCTGAGGTGTGTCTGGACAGACACTGAAGCGATGTCCATCGCTACCACTGTGCTCCAACAGAAAAGTGGGGTCTGGGAACCATGGAAGCCACAGCGCCCAAGGGCTGGGAGAATGGGTTTGCTCCCTTCTCGCTTCTTTCTTCCAGCCGGATGCAGAAGACTCAGAACTTCATTTGAGGCCTAGGCCCCATTGCAACCTGCCAGCGGTGTCTTGTCTCCTCTGCTGAGGCCTGTGGACCAGATGAATGTAGTACAGCCAGTGCCTCCAGCCTCTGCCCTCCTCTTCCGTAGCTGGCCACTGTTTCTCTCCCTCTATTCCCAAGCCCAAAGTAGAGCCTGCTGTCTACTGTCAGTCACTCAAACACACCGTTTGTTTTCCCGGCTTCCTTCCCACCAAAACCACAGACCTTCTCTCCTCTTTCCTGTGTCTGCTTGGATCTCAGGGCAGGGCACAGAACCAGCCCTGCCTGGCACGGATGGTGGGGCTGGGGTGTGGGAACACACAGCACAGTTTACAAGACAGGGTCCTGGGACTGAACAGAGTGGGGACTTGTGCAGATCACACAGCGTTTCAGGGACAGATGTCAACCCCAAAGCTTCTGAAGCCAGCTTGAAACTTCTTTCCATGCTGCCTGCTTCTTACTCGGTGGTGTTGGCAAGACCAGACTCATGCTCGCACCAGCACACACCCTACCCGGGCCACATACTCCTGTACATGGCCACACGCTTATCCTCGGTTAATCTATAAGCCAGTTTAATGTCCTTAGTATTCAACCCTTACAAAAACCTTACATGTGGGCAAGTAAAATGGCTCAGTAGCAAAAGCTCTCACTGCCAAGCCTGAGACCTGAGTTCAATTCCTGAGGATAGAAGGAGAGAGCTGACTCTCAAAAGTTGTCCTCCACTCCTGTGCCATGGCCCTAATGCACACAGACACACACACACACACAACACACACACACAGAGAGAGAGAGACAGAGAGAGAGAGAGAGAGACAGAGACAGAGACAGAGATCCTACGAGCTGGCAGAGATGACCAAGATGGCAGAAATGACCAATCATCTCCAATAAAATGGGATGAAGGTTGCATGACTACACAAGGGTACACAGCTAACTGTGTGGCTGTTAGGACTAACCCAGGGCTCCGGATCCCTAGAGCCACTATCTGTGACACAGGATGAATGCCAGGCAGGTCTCTGGAGCTATGCACTTTGGAAACCCAGGGGCACCCACAGGATGCCCTGTGTCCAGAAAGCGAGAGGATGGAGGGGTGATTCTTGTTTCCAACTCCTTCTTTACCAAAGGACCGGACCCCAGTTCTCTTAGAGCAAAGCCGAGAGACATGTTCAGACCTGCTACTCACTGAGTGCAGAGCCTGAAAGTGAGCTATGCTGGCTGGGGTCCTCAGAGAAGACCCTTGGAGAAGGTGACTGTGCCTTCTGCCTTTGCCACATACCCAGGGAAAGCGGGTTATAAGTATTCTCCCTGCCAGTCTTGATCTGTTTCTCTCAGAATCTGGGCCTCCTCGGCCTCTTCCACTTTCTTGCCTTAGCACCTCCTTTTTTTTTTCTCCCAGCCCCATCCCCCCCACCCGTGCCTCTTTTCTTTCCAGACGACCTCTTCCAGAAAGACCCCACCCCACTCCCCATTTGCTGCCAGGCTCTTCATTGCTTACGTTTTTATTTGTGCTCACTCCGTACTCCTGCTTCCTGAGCCGACAAAAAAAATAAAGACTATAAGTAAAATGTACTCTGTGTGTGTGGGGGGGGGGGCATGTACTTCTCCGGGGACCCAGGAATCTTCGGGGCTTGAGTTGTCAGGCTTGGCCCAGGAAGAAGATGAAGTTGCCCAGAGAAAAAATGCCCTGGAAGTTGATTTGCCAGCTCCTCATCGCAGAAGCACTATGGGTGACTCTGTAGTTAACCGAAGGACTATGGGTGATGGGTGCTTTCCTGCAGTCTGTGTATGGGAGAGGACAAGGACCGAGAAACTAATGTGTGTGGCAATTGTGTGTCCCCACCGTAAGTAAACGCCTGTGTGCTGGAAGCTGTACACAGGTGCACCAAGAGCCCACATCCTTTCTGATCCAAGTTCACAAGCGAGTCTTAGCTTGCATCACAAGCACCTTAGCTGCCAGCAGGCCTTCAGGTGGTGCCCCTCTGAGCTCTACTCAAGAGCAAGCAGCCTCCACAAGGATGCTCACGGTGACACACGGTGACACACGTTTCCTCCTCCCGAACAGCTAGCTCCTCAGTCCCTAACAACACCAGCTGCCTCTTCGGGCTCATTCGTGTTGAAAAACCGGGACGGGGTGGGGGCAGGACACCAACCGCTTCACCAATGAAGCCCGATCCCCGCCGTCCTCCTCGCCCCCTCCCTCTCCGCTCCTTCCTTGCCCCTCCTCCTCCAAGTCACCCCCCTCCTGTTTCCCCGCCCCACCCTCGCCACCCC